ACTGCCTTTGTTCAAGAGCAGGTACATCTCACAGTTCAGCTTCTCGGATATTTTTAGCGCTGTTGCATAAGATTGATATTCATGATCAATTCCTAGAATCGTGGTTTAAGTGCAGCAAGTTGTTACTTTTCTGCTGGCATAAAGATTTCTTTAAACCACATTAATTAATCTTCAGGTGTAAGTTCCTGTAGGAGTTATACCGTTAGCCAGGCTATGAAAGGGAGTTGGGAGTGCGGCATCTGCAAGTACTTGGTTGGCATTGCTACTTCTATGAGATTCTTTGTCAGAAGAAATCCCAGGTCATTGCAGCAGAGGGAAGCACTATTTGCCCTGTCCTAGCTGGTGCAATTTCATTTGCTTCAGGGACTTGGAAACCTCTGAACTTACTGAGGTTTCCCCAAGTGGTATATTACAAAATACAGAGCAGACCTAGATATACTGCTGATTTCTACTTGTGACTGTGGAAAATTACAAAACAGGCTTCTCGAGGCAGCCTGACTTGCCAGCAAGGTTTCTGACAATTAGAAACAAGATTGCTTGCCCTTCCCAGCTATTCTGGCAGTTGTAGACATGACATGTTAAAATTATTGGACCATTTTCAGGACAGTTTTCTCCAGTGAAGGAGCTGAATTTGGTGCAGAGTGAATCTGGTGCGTTAGCTATTAGATCAGCAGCTACTTCATTTGGAAGGTAGAGTATATCTCAGGAAAATGAAGGTACTAATGAAGAGAACTTAATTGGGCACTGGGGCTTTTTCGTTAAAGAATCCCAGGCTTTGCGGATCTCAAGGTTCAATTTGAATTATTCTGTTATTTTACAGGTTTCCATTGTGCTTATTACTGCAGCACCTGGATGGCTTAATTGCATGCAGAACCACAATGGGACTAAACAAAACAGCAGGCCTTGAATCTTGCTATGAAAATCACTGGACGCAGGCCTCGAAAGGCTTCTAAGAGGGAGGAAATTCCAGATAGGGGCTCTCAGCTGAGAAAACTCTGCTCCTAAACACAAAGGTGCATGTTCACCCCTGCTGTAACTTTATTGAAGTCATCTGGATGGGACTCAGAAGTGGCTGATGCAGGAAAGGGGAGAAAGAGCCAAGGGGTCTGCAAAGGGAGGCACGGTACACTCGTGAGGACATGAGGTGCTTTGTAACAGTGTCTGTCTGGGTTGGTGAGGATGCCCCATAGAGAAGAGGAGCACTTGGTCTTCGGGCTGAAGCACAGAAGTGAGCCAAGACATCCTGTTTCTGCCTCCAACTTACTCTGCAGCTTCAAGCAAGCCAGTGTCACCAAATGAATATGTCCCTGAATGATGGAGTATGATGGGAATTATTTAATCAACGTAGGCTATGCACATGGAGATCCCCAAGTGAGCAGTGCTCTACAAAGTGACAGGATGCGTAGGGATGAAAAGCAATGGCTTCTATAGAAAGAAAGGACTGGGGAACCTTTGCAAAAAAGCCTGGTGAGAAAATGGGGGGGAGGTGATGCACAACCATGGAAAGCTCTACATGACCCAAGCTCTTATGTAAGCAGGTCCTTCTTCCCCTCTGTTTGAGCTGCTCAAGACAGAGCAGATTGATTTAAAATAATAATGTTCCCCCATTTGATCTGCACTGCATCATCTCACATGTCAGAGTGTCATTATAAATCCCTTGGAGAGGGATTCTGCTCCATAACCCTTTTTTTTTTCCATATGAGAGAGAAAATCTCACAATTAATCAGTTCACTATTCTATTAACTAATCTGCCAAAGCCTGAGGAGACTTGCCTAGTTTTCTGATTACCAGAGCAACAGTTTATCTTTTCTTAAGATAGATTTATACCGTCTACCAATCCCTCTACCACACAATAAATGCAACTCTGATTCATTGAATTGCTGTCAGTAGTGTTGGCAGAATCAAAGGCACTTCCAGTAATTAAAGCCGATTCTTTTTAACTGAATGTGGTTAAAGGTCTCTCTGGTCAAACAGAGTATAATATAGATACTGAATTTACAATGTGAGAGTGGGAGAAGTAAAGATTTCACAATATTATCCCAAACAAATTATTTTCAATAATAAACAATGGATGATGAACATAATCCATTTAGCAATGTTTTTCAGTTCAATAAACTGATAATTTGCTCTTTGTTTCTATTGTAGCACCCTCAAATCATTTGTTTGGTTAAACACAGCCACGATTTTTCAAAATCCTTTCTTCTTTGAATAGCTATAACCCAGAGAGAGAGATATCCCTTTTGTCACTGAGATTAGTGTTGTGAATGAGAATATTTTGCTATAGAAACTGCAGATTTAGGAGCTTTTGAATAAGGTGCTCAATCCTGACCATGAATAAAGATTAGTTTTTTGTATGACATCTCTCTTTTTAAATGATTTCATATCTACTAGGAGACAGAAAATTGTATTGGATATTTCCAAGTGTTGGTAGGTATTTACGTCAGCTCAGATCCTCCTCCAGCTAGAAGAAATTAGTTTAGTCTCATAATGAACTGAGAGCAAGTACACCCCCACCCCCTACATGTACACACATCTGATAATGGGTCTGGTACCTCTTTTGGACACACACTTGTCTTTGTACTTTCTTTTTTTCCCCACTTTTACTCCATGCTGTGACCCCAAAATGATGCAGCAAAGAAATGCATCAAAGCCTGTATTCCTTCCTACATTTATGTGAGCAATTGTGCAGGTATCTCCTTTCTGCCCCTCTTTTATTATACGCCAGCACAGCAGATGGGCGTAACAATAGATCCTGGTCTCCCCGGAGTCCCTGCCCAATGAAATCCAAGACAAACAGAAGGAGACTTCATGAAACACAGCCACTGAGCTGTGGTTCATGTACCACAACCCCTTCAGCGGGGACTTGGACGGGTGCCACTAGAGATGCTCCCTCCCCGCACAACATGCCAAGGAGAATTTTTGTTTGAACCTCTCTTGGGCACCGCAGCTCAGTGGCACATTTCATGTAGGCTGTGCCTCAAAGGAATTAAGGAATTAATTCAGGGAAATCCAAATAGTCCCTTCTGTCTTTATAAGCTCTGAGCATATAGAAAAAAAATGCTCGGCTGGGATCATAGCAAGAAGAGAGAATTCATTACGGTCTCATAGCTACTAAGACTTCTATATCAGTTAGGTATCCAATAGTGACCCCTGTCTTAAAACCACCACTACCCACCCAGCTCTGCCCTCACCTAATCCAGACCAGTTCCCTTTGAAGTTAGTGAAAGGTCTGCAGTAGGGATAGCTCAACCAGTGCTGCCAGATCTGCATGCACAAGGAGAGCAGTAGTGTTCAGTTTAATGTTGCTTCTCCAATGTTGACTGCTCGGGTGCACAACTTCCTCTGACTATAATTACAGCCTCGTGGGTGGTAGAAGGATTTCTCTTATCTATTGTGTGCCAAGCCTGAGTAGATGGTGTATTTCTGCCTCTTCCTGCTTAACAGAAACCCTCTGTCCTTATCCCTTTAATTGCCTAGGTAGGTGGGCACGTTATTTGTACCCTTTGACGCATGCCAAGATGTATCCAGGCACTGGAGGCAGATCAAGGGTCAAGATAAGATCGCAGAGTGAATCACAGGTAATCCGTGCAGTGGATGCGAGCAACTGCATTCATGGAAAGGGAGGAGCCTAGAAGTGTCTAGATCAGCCCTAATTCACATGCTTATGTGGGCTCAAAATCTCAGTTCATTGTTTTTGGTAGCATATTTCTTTGGGCCAGATTTCAACAGTGACAATTATCACTGTGAAACACAAGTTCTTCATTCCCAATTCAGGAGAAAACTCAGCTTTGATGCATCTGTGAAAAGCCCATAGTGGAGTGCTGACAAGAGAACAGGTTAACATGGACAACGTGCTCTCAAGACCACAATGAAACTGCAGACATTTCCTCCAGTATGATATGTAAAGGATTTCAAGCACAGGGGTGCCTTTCTGTTGTGCTCAGAGACACCTTTGCTGTGACCAGTGAGCCAGAATGGGCAGAAAGAGTCCTCCTACAGGAATAAAACACGACAGATTTGCTGCTAGAGGAGCCTCTCTGGAGACAAAACATCTCAGTGCTGTGACAACCACTAGTTTCTCCTGGTCCCAGGGCACTGCTGCTGTCCCCCTAGGCAAGACCAGCTATTATTTGAAGGTAAACAGAAGGAAAACATTTCCAAGCTTCACTGCTCAAACCGCTTCTGCTCAGACAAAGCTCATCTGATATAGGCTGTTCACATATCACTCTCCTCCCTAGCTCCCTTCTCTCTGAGTCTAAGACTGAATTAATCAGAAAGTGAAACTATTGTTAAGAAAGCAGCTTCTTAATATGTATCACCCTCAGGAAAGGAAATTCTAATTTTCCTTTCCTGACATAATTGCATCAAGATGCTGAAGCTAAGCATCATTTTGTGGCCAGTTGCAAAGCTGTGTTTAGGACTTCTGAAAAACTGCAAATGAAGTCTGTAAGATCTGTCTCTGCAATTTCTTCCCCAGCCACATATGTCACCTTTGATAACTACTTAAGCAATTTCTTCTCCAGCCACATATGTCACCTTTGATAACTACTTATTTTCATGCGTCTGTTCTTCAATTTGTAGCCTCTACTTCAAGGTTTACCAGGATTCAGAGCCCTGCAGGACAGCTCTGTTCCACAGGGAAAAGAGACCTAAGTAGAGGAGTCTGAGCCTTATATAGAGGTCTTAATGACCTAACAGGGCACGTCTAAACATTCATTAATGTGCTTTTGCTAATGCACATTAAATTTAGTACCTTCATGGTGAGGTACTAGAAAAAAGGGCATTAGACTATTTTAATGAGCATAAGGGAAAGCACACCTTTTTGTGATGCTCTAATGCATTAAAGTGCATATGCAGATGCACCCACAGATCATCTGACATGCCATTGCCTGAGTTACTTTCATTTCCAACAAAACATACATACAATCTCCGATAGCAGTGCCCCCCAACCCCCTCATTATTTATGGACTTTACAACCATTGCAGTAGTGATCACAGTACCTAAAATAGCCACCACCTCATCATCCTGTATGACTTCTAGGGATCCTGACACCACAAAGCACAGAGCATCCACACTTTCACCAGCATGGTAGATGAGGTCTCCTGGAGCACAGTGTATAGTCTGAAACTCCACAGCCAAGGCCCGCAGACAGCCGTCGCTAGCCAGTCGAAAGGCAGGGTGCTCGTTAAAAACCTTCCGATTCAGATGTACGCAGATATCTGCTCTCATGTCTTTGGGGCAAATGGAAAGGACCTGAATGAAGAAGGGAAAAAAAAATCAATTGGGAGCACGATATCTGATCAGCAGGGGTTTTAAGAAACTGCTTAACAAATGAAACAAGAGAAATGCCCCCCTCGGGTATTTTCATCGTTGTCACTAGCAGACAATGTTCAGAGAGATTTTTTTTACCCTCATCTGTGAAATGGAAGTGAGACCTCCTTGGTCTGCTAATATTAGTCCTCTCCTAATGTAATGTAATGGCCACTACTGAGGACTAACTAAGGTTTATAAAGCAGATGCCTGTTTTCAGCAATATCTAGTAAAACAAACAGCTGTTTGCTCTCAATATTTTTCTTGGGAACATTTTCCTTACCATTTATTCAGATAACATTCCCTATAACAGCACCAGATGTTTAAAAATAATGTGGCACCAGGACACCAACATACTACTATTCACAGGCATATTATGATGATTATGCCCCAGATTCACATATGTTCTGATATATGTACAAAGCACGGCAGACCTTCAGTCGTATCAAGTCCTGCCTGCTTGTTCAGTATGAGAACTTCTTCCGTTCTCACTGTTCATAGTATCATAACCCTTAGGGTTGGAAGGGACCTAAACAGATCATCATCCCGTTTTCTTGTGCAGGGACCAGGACTCCCCCACCGTGATTCAAGATGACTCGAGGGGAACGCCCCAAGACCTAAGGTTGAGGAGGACCGGGTTAGAGTGCTTCTGGAGGGACTGGACGTGTTCAAGTCAGCAGGTCCAGATGCTCTCCACCCCAGGGCGTTGAGGGAGCTAGCAGGGGTTATTGCAGGGCCCTTGGATGGCTTTA